CCCCTGCTTGTGTTCCCTCTCTCGCTGTGTCTCTCTCTGTCAAATAAATAAAATCTTAAAAAAAATAAAAAATAAAAAAAATAAAACCAGCAAGCACACGGTGTGGAGGGGAAGATACAGCGGGCTCAGAGCTTTCCAAGGTTTCAGCGGCTCTTTGTCCCTGCTTTACAAGGTTTGGGGGCCAAAGCTGAAGAGCGCAGCCCCAGGAGAACGAAGGGCCATGTAGCTCTTCTATGTAGCAGCAAGGTCAGCATCCCGTATGAGCCTGCCTTTCCCCCAAAGCCTGCACCCGGGCGGCAGCCTGTGGGGAGATCCATCAGGGGACTCACCTCCTCACCACCTTCTCCATCGCCCCCGGAGGCCCACCCCGCACCCAGGCCCAGAGAAGCTGGTGCTGGGGGCAGGTGACTCACCCATCACTGTCAGTTGGAAATGCCTCCTGGCTTCCCCTGCCTCGCTCACGGCCACGCAGGAATAGGTCCCTGAGTCACCAGCTCCTGCTGTCTCCAGCTGCAGGCTGGGCCCCTGTTCCAGGCTCTGGGGCAACAAGGGCTCCCCATCCTTCATCCACGACACCAGGGGCAGGGGGCTTCCCCGGGCCTCACAGGGGAGGACCACTGAGGAGCCGCGGACCACCGCCACGTCATTCTGGAACTCCACGGGCTCCAGGATAGGGGGTACTGTGCAGGGCAAAAGAGTGAGCAGGAGTCCTTTCATTTCGCGTCAGGGGGCCCTCACCCTTGGACCTTCGCACAGGCTGTTCCCACACTGGTCAGAACGCCCTTCTCCTGGACAATTCCTTCTCATCTCCAGTCTTCAGCTTAGACCTCACCTCCTCCAGGAAGCCTTCCCTGAACTCCCCAGGCCAGTTGAAGAGCCCTCCTCTGTGCTCCCACAGCTCCCTGTCCTTCCCCTGGTGTCACTAGTTGCCTGGGATTGTGGTTGCCTCTTCACAGAGCTGTTTCCTGCACTGACCTCCTGGGGGCAGGGGTCACCTCTGCTCCCTGCTGCATCCCGGGGCCTGGTAAGGCCCTGGCACACGACAGCGTCTAACGGCTGCTTGCGAGATGAATGAATGAGCAGCCAAATGAATCAAAGACCGAGTCTCTGTGTTTGCGCCCTAAGGCCAAATGATGCACTTTTTCTCCAACAACCCCCTCCCTGCCCGCCGCACCCCGGTCCGTACCGTGCACCTGCAAGGTGAAGTTCCTGTCGGTCACGCCAGCTGGGCTTGCAGCCACACAGGTGTAGACGCCAGAATCTGCCAACTGCACCTGGGAAATCCTGAACACCCCCGGGGAAGGGTGGAGGGGAAAAAGGGGGAGGGGAGGGTGGCTCCATGGAAACGGTCCCTCTCTTATGCTGTCCCCCAGTGGCTTACCTGCCAGAGAGGCAGCTCGGAAACTCCCACCTGAACAGGCCTGGCCTCTGCCTAACCCCCTTTCCTGGCTCCCTGGGGCCCCCAGAGTAAAGCCCCAGACTCCCTGGCCCCTGATGCCTTCTCTGACCCCCCTCCCCCTGAGGCCAGACTTCCTGCTTTCCCAATTCCGCGGGCCGCGCTGTCCCATCCAAGGAGTGGGACGCCTGCCTGCCCTTACCCCTCTTCTAGACCATTCCTTTTCACCTTTAAGACTCACCTGAATCACCTAACCTGTCTGTGCCCCCCACCTCCTCTCGAAGTCCCTCTGGCCCCGACCATTCCTCCTGAGCTGATCTTGTCAATGTCCCCTGTGACCCTGAAACATGTCTCTGCTTGGCTCCCGGGACAACACGCTTTCCTGGAGTGCCTCCTCCACCCTCCCCATCCTCCTGCCTGCTTCTCCTTCCTGGGACCTTAGACCCATCTTAATACCAGCCACCGGGGGTACAGTCCACACTCACACTTGGGGCGGGGGGCGCCTGCAGCCCATCCTGGCTTCCACCACTACCTGTTTGCCCACAATCCCCAAACGTCTATATCCCTAAACTCCTGAGTGGAGTAGCAAACACCTGGCTCACATCCTCCCTGGATGTCTAAGAACCTCTCAAACCAACATATTCAAACAGAACTCGGGTCTCCCCTTCAACCTGCCCACCCCCACTATGGTCCGATCTCAGGAAACACCTTCCGTGGACCTCAGCCTTCCAGGTTCCTGGATGCAGGCCTCAGAGCCTTGCTCCACTCCTCCTGCTTCCCACCTCTGACCACCTCCACCACCACGGCTGTGACCCAGGCCTCACGGCATCTCCCCCTCATCCCCCTCCTGCTCTGCCCTTGGCCCCATGGTCTCCTGTCTACCCAGCAGCCACAAGGATCCTCTAAAAACCTAAGTCACAACCCAAAAGAATTGAGAGACTTGAACAGATATTTGCACACCCATGTTTATAATAGCATTACGCACAGTAGCAAAAAAGTGGGAGCAATCCACATGTCTGTTGACAGATGAATGGATGAACAAGGTGTGGTCTGTCCGTACTGTGGAATATTACTCAGCCTTAAAAAGCCAGGGAATTCTGACACCTGCTACAATGTGGAGGAGACTTGAGGGCATGATGCCGAGTGGGATAAGACCAGTCACAAAAAGAAAAATACTGTATGAGTCCACTGATACCGACGTCCTTAGAGCTGTCAAGTTCATAGAGATAGGAGGTAGAATGGGGGTTGCCAAGAATGGGGGCAGTGCGGGGGGAAATGGGGACACAGTTTCAGTTTGGGAAGATGAGAAAGTTCTGGAGATGGATGGGGGTGATGGTCGGATCACTGTGTGAATGTACTTAATGCCCCTGAACTGTACACTTAAAAATGGTTAAAATGATAAATTTTATGTGTATTTTACCGTAATAAAAAAAATGTAAGTCATATCATGAGGCTTCTCTACTGAACACTGCCTCCCCACCCCCCCACCAGCTCTTCATCTGTCCTTAGGAAAACCTAGGTCTTTTGAAGGACTTACAAGTCCTATGTCACCTGGTCTCCCCTCAATCCCACCCACCCTATTCCTTGAACACACAGGCACATGCCCACCTCAGGGCCTTTGAACTTGCTATTCCAACACTCTGCCCGGAAACTCTTCCCCACAGAATCCACCCAGCTCCCTCTCCTGACTCCTTCCACCTCTGTGCACATTTCACCTTCTCTGATAGTGCCTATCACTGACCACCCTAAAATACCAGCCTCCCCTGCCACCTCCCATTTATTCTTCACCCTACTTTGTTCTTCAGAGCACATATCCCTAGTGACATTCCTCTGTTACAGCTGTTTAATTTCCATTCTCCTCCCCTGATCAAGCAGCAGTAGGTCAGGGGCTTTATTTTGCTCACTGCTCGATCCCAGTGCCTGGAACTGCACCTGCGATAGCCAGCACTCCAAAAGATTGAAGAATGTGTGAAGACGTTGCTCAGAAACCTTCTTCCAGGAAGGCTTCCCTGATTTCCTCCACCCCAAGGCAGGCTGAGTTGGATACAACCAGATGTCATCACCTGGATCTGTGCCTCCCTCCCTGGGCTGTAAGAGCCTGAGAGCAAGAGGCCCCCTTTATCTCTGGAGTTCTATTTGGGGGGTGGGGGACCCTCACTCTCCCCATCATAAACCTCTGTATATTATTTTTATTTGAAAACCATTCAGAGGTGTTCTGAAGCCCAAGCTGCCTGAGAGTGGGTCTGGGACCAGGTGGCCCAGGGGCTGAGGAGCCTCTTCCCTACCTGAGGGTGCGGCCAGAGCTGTGAAGGCGAGTGCGCTGGGAAAGCGGGAGGGGCAGGCCGTCCTTGAGCCAGCTCACACGGATGGGCGCAGAGCCCCGGACGGGGCAGGCCATGGTCACCAGCTCCCCAGGCCTGCTCACCAGGGTCCCCGAGCTCTCTGCCCACTGCTCGATGGTGGGAGGGACTGGGGGTGGGTAGAGGGAAAAAGGGGGTGGTAAGGGGGTTTAGGGAGAGGGCCTGGGTGGGGGAGATGGGCTCCTCTCAGGCAAATTCCAGGAAGCAGCAACCATCTTATATGGGGTTCTCAGAGCCACATCCTTGCCAGGTGAGGCTGAAGCCCACCGCGTGGGGGCACAGGTTCACCCCATGGCTCTCTTTGCATGTCCCCTATTCCCTGACTCTCCTATCGCACCCCGGTGCTGGAGTGCTTGGGTCTCTGGCCAAGAACAGGATGCAGAGGCCCAGAGAGGTCAGAGGATGGCCCGGCTGGGGCTTGAAGCCGGGCTCCTGCATCCTGGCCCTGGCATCCCCATCCAGACGCCCCGGTGGAGGCCCCGCCGTGGCCGGGCTGCCGCAGATGGCGGAGCCCCCACCTCTCCTCACCCTTCAGTTGCTCACCCAGCACGCTCACTGTGTGCAGCCTGGCGTCCTCCCCTGCCGTGTTGTGGGCCACGCAGGTGTAGGCGCCCGAGTCCTCGGCCTTCAGGCCCTTCAGCACCAGGGCGCTGCTGTCCAGGTAGAACCTGCCCGGGGGCGGAGAGCCGAGAGCCGGCACCGTAAGGGTCTGTGGTGATGCCTGGGGACCCGGGAGGGCACAGGCCAAGCCTTACCGGAGGTGGGGGCCCACGCCCTGGTCCAGCGGGCCACCGTCCTTCAGCCAGGTCACGTTGGGCGGTGGCTGCCCATCCGCCTCACAGTCCAGCCGCACCTCCTGTCCCTCCAGGACCCTGTGCTCCTGGGTGACGCCCGAGCTCCGGATCTGGGGGGCCACTGTGGCAGGTGCTGTGGTGAGGCCCGGGGACGTGGCGGGGGCTGGCGAGGGGGTGGGCCGTGGTGGGGGGAGTGTAGGGGGCACACGTACCCAGCACGGCCACTACGAAGTCCTTGCGGGCCTCGGCCTGGGTGTTCTCGGCCACGCAAGTGTAGGTGCCAGCCTGGGAGGGCTGCAAGCGACTCAGCTGGAGGCGGCCCCCGCGGGAGACCACACCATGCGCCACACTGCTCTCTGTGGGGTGGAGAGACGTGCCAGGCCCCCACCTGCCCAGACCCGCCATCCCAGGTGCCGCCACTGGGCCCGGACACAAAAGTCATGCGACTCCTCGGAGCGGGTGTCCATCTCCCACACTCGCAAGACCCCTGGAGCCTTTGCACCACCCGCCGGCCTCTTGTACTCACAGGGACACTGAGGCCCAGCCGGGGGCAGGGTCTCGTGCCAGCTACATCATGACCTCCCTCGGCTGGGTCTCTCATTGCTCTGTGCGTTACAGCCCTGACCTATTTCCTTCCACTGGGGACATTCCTGGCCAAGATACCCCACTCCCCTTTAGTGTCCAGGACTTGCTCCTCCTCCTGTGGGCCCCAGGACCCTCGGGCCCACCTCACCCCCACCCTCGCTCCAGCTTCACCCTGCCCACCCCCACCCCCCAAGGCTGCCAATCAAGGTGAACCAGCCACCCACTGGGCACTTCCTGGTCCCCACGTGGGTCCCGTTAGGGGCACCCCAGGGCCTCTGCTCAGGCTGCACGCCCACCCCAGCCTGGAATGGCCCCCATTCTCGGCAGCTGCGCTTCTGCCTGAGCCCAGGCTGGGCCACTCTCCCCCGGGTCCTCACTGGTACAACCAGTCTCTCAAGACGAAATCTACTGAGCAGCTACCGCGTGTCCAGCTGTGAGCTTGGGGTTCAAAGCCGAGTAAAGCACAGTCCCTGGCCTCAAGGGGCTCCACGTGCATCAGAGACAGTGAGACACGCGTGCTCCTGCGTGACCAGTCCCGTGAAGCCCCTGATGGAGCCGGGAGGGGTCAGGCACGTCTTCGGAGGAGGCAGGTCTCAGCTGGACCAAGTGGGTGTGAACCGGCCAGTAGAGGTGTTCAGGGGGGTCGGGGTGGGTATTTCGGGGAGGAAAGAGCGTGTGCCAAGAAAGGAGGTGGAGAACGGGGCCCGGAGCGGCTCCACAGCAGGTGCAATCGGAAGAGAAAGGAGAGTGTATGGCCCACAAACACTCGTCCCCGAACCTTCACGGCACACTATTCACCACAGCCCCAGGGTGGAAACAACCTGAATGTCCACCAACTGATGAAAGGATAAACCAAATAGGGTAGAGACATGCAGTGGAATAGTCAGCCATAAAAAAGAGTGAAAACATTTTAATTTAACTTAAAAGAAGGAATGCAGAATGGACACACGCTACAACAGAGGTGGACCTTGGAAACAGGATGCTAAGTGGAAAAGCCCGTCAGAAAAGGCCACATACCGTATGATTCCACTGACAGGAAATGTCCAGAACTGGCAAATCAGTGTCAGTGGCTGCCTGGTTTCCGGGGTTGGCAGCAGGTATGGGGGGAAACGAGGGGTGTAAGGTAATGGGTGAGGGGTTGCCTTTTGGGTGATAAAAATGTTCTAAAATTGATTGTGGGGATGGTCTGCGACTATAGTCAAAATAACGGAATTATAAGCTTTAAATGGGTAAATCGTATAGTATATAAATCTTGATAAAGCTGTCTTTGAGAGAGGGAGAGGGGGCAGGGGGAGGGAGAGAGAGACAGAGACGGAGAGAGAGACAGAGAGACAGAGACAGAAGGGTTTGTGGGAGAAGCCGAGAGCAGCTGGGTGTGTGGGGCCCGGTGTGGGGCACCGGGAGGTGGGCTGGCTAAGCCCCGCAGGGCCTCCCGGGCTGTGTTTCTGAGGACTATGGCCAAAGGATTTCAGCAGACAAGTGACCGCCTCAGAGCTGCACTTTGAGATCCCTTCGTCCCTGTGTGGAGATGGCACTGGAGGCTTGGAGTGGGCCCAGGACTGGCGTGGGGGCAGCTGGAATGGGAAAGGCTAAGGGCAGAGAGCTGGCTGTTTCCCACCTGACAAGAGGAAGGTTCTGCTGGGACCCCGGGGTGGGAGGAGAAGAGAGCTAGACAGGGACGAAGGCCTAGACAGGAAGGTGACCGGCAGCCAGGCTGGACGGAGCTGAATTCCAGGAGGAGGAGCTTTGGAGGCCAACGTCAAGGCCGGGGTCAGGCCGGCTGGGCCCTCAGCACCCACCCTGCATCCACCCATCTCGTGGGAGCCAACTGTGGCCACAAACACAGGGAGCCTTCGAGCCCCCATGGAACAGTTCTCAGCATTGGGATTTCAAGGGCCAACAGGTGGTGGGACAGACAGGACGCTGCCGCCTTCGATTTTGCCGAGAACGGCGACAACCAACAACTCTTCCCTCTTCATGGTCACGGCAGCACAGAAAGGAGTATTTGGCACTGAAAGGATGCGATGCACTCACCAACAGGCATTCTGTCCTTCAGCCAGGTCACAGCAGGTGCCGGGACCCCGGTCACGTCACAGCTCAGGACCAGGGGGCTCCCAGCCACCTGGCTCACTTTCTCTGTCTTGGGGTTCTCAAACGTTGGGGGCACTGTGGGAGAGATGCCAGATTGCCACAGCCCTAAGACCCTGTTGCCCCCTTCCTTCCACGGGGGCTAGTCAGGGATACCCCACCAGCTCTTCGTTCTGGTTAGTAGTTGACATTTTATGCTTTGCCACGGGTAGAGATACAGATTGTTTTAGTCACAGGTGTAAATAGAACCGGCATCGGTCTACTTCAAAACATTTACAAAGCAGAGTCCAGAGGGGTCCACTCAGCCCAAGGATGGTGAGTGCGTGGCTACCGTGCCAGGAGTTCTTAGCCTACGCCAGGGCAGACATCACTAATCGATCCCGACACCCTCTCCTGCTTGGCCAGGAAGAGGTCACGCATCCCGGGCAAGCACTACCAGTGGAACGAAAATGGCTGTGCTCAGGGTGAATCCTCTTTGTCCTCAGGGACCAGACCTTGCCCCTTGCCCACCACTCATCAATGTAGCCATCAGGGGAAGGCTTTAAACAGCACACCTGGTGTCAGTAATTCCCAACAATGGTATTCAATATGGCTCCCGGTTGGATCCATCCACTGCTCACCCGGTGGGGAGGTCACTGGCTTTGCCTCCTGGGGACAATTTACTTCCAGGGCAATTACAGTACTTTACTTACCACTTGGTAGGCCCTGAGCTATCCACCAGCCTGGACGCTCACTCCTGGGCTTTTGTAGGAGAGAGGTAACATTCTCTCTCATTTAATCCACTGTGTTTTGGGATCTCTTTTTAACACAGCAGAGACTATACTCTAACTGACATAACATCTGACCCCAAGCAAATCTGGCTGAGTCTTCATCCCTTGCTTCCCTAGCTGAGCTTCCCCACACCCCCACCTTGAGTCACAGCCCATCAAATGCCATCTGTGCTCCATTCTTGGGCTGATGGAGCGGGCCCCCCAGGTGACATGGCCCCAGGACTCCAACCATCTGATCTCTGAGGGCTCCCCTCCCAGGGCTTGCATGCCAGGCTCGTGCCCAGCACTTTATAGATATATTCATGGCAGCCCATCAACTGAATGCTTCCCATACATCTAGGGAGGCAGGTACTGCCTTTGCTCCTTTGACCGAAGACAAACCCGAGGCTCAGAGGAACCAAGGTGTTCTGCTGCCCCCCAAGAGCAAGAGCAAGTCATCGGCAGTGCTGTTCCGATCCTGGTCTTTTCAATGCCACATCCTGTGCCCTACACGCTCGGGGCCACTGCCTCTTCCTAGCGACTGCCCTTCCCACCCTGAGCAGCCCTGTGTGCTGCTAGGGGTCCCACGGCAATGCCCTCAGGCTGGTCCCCAGCTTACCCTGGACAGTGAGGACAAATGTCCGCATGGCTTCCCCGGCTGTATTACTGACTTTACAGCTGTATAAACCTTTATCCAGTACCTAGGACAAAGAGAGCACGTGGTGATGGTGTACATGGTGCTGGGATGGGGGTACCGAGGGCTCCCCCAAAACACCCAGGCCACAGAACCTTCTGGAGAAGGGACTCCCCAGATATGCTGGTCGTGCCTGGGAAGCCAGAGGAGGTAGGACCCCCTGGCCTTCCCCCAAGAACTTCAAGAAGCAGGAGGGTGGTTAGGAGGTGAGTGCACAGGTTCCAGACCCCCACCCTTCCCCTGGGCCTGCACGCCAGCCAAGCCTGGAGGGAAAAGTCCCTCACTGTGGGGACGGCGCTGGGCCAGGAGAGAGGAGCCCGGCACCATTTCCCAGAAGGGCAGCCAATATGCATCCAGCAAACACTTGTGAGTGCCTAATCCACACCAGGGAGGGTGGGCAGAGCAAACTCCCAGAGAGTCACAGTCAGAGGGGCCTGGAACAGGCTTCTAGATCCCAGGAAAGCGGAAGCAGGTGATTGGGAATGGACTTGCTCAAGGTCAGGACCAGATTGGAGCCCTGCGCTCTTCTCATGGCTCCCACCCCGGGGGCTGCTCATCATTGCTGTGAGGTCCTGTGGGCTGAGGAGGTGGCAGTCCCCATGCCCTGCCACACAGCTGCCCAGCCCCACCTCCCAGGCTCACCAGGACCGGCGCCCACAGCCACCCACGGCTGCCCATGCCACGGGCTGCTCACCTGGGTGTCCCGGATCTCCAGCCTCTGCCCCCCCAGCAGAGCCTGGGTGCGCTGTGCCAGGACCAGGGGCTGCCCGTCCTTGTGCCAGCTCACGGTCGGCTCAGGGAGCGAGTCGGTCTCACAGCTCAGGACTGCTTTGTCCCCGGCCCGGACCACGATGGCATCCTGGGGGCCGCTGGGAGGCTGCCTGAAGGTGGGGGGAACTGGGGCAGCAGGTGAACAGCGTGAGGCACGCCAGCGTCCCCGGCGTCCTCCCCGGCTCCAGCCGTGGGTAACGGCCGATGGAGGCCCACAGCGTCACATGGAGGAGCCCGCCCCAGGGATGGCACAGACCCAGGGAGTTGGAGGGAAGAGAGTCCAGGTCAGCGTGCCAAGGACCTGCTGGGTGACCTGGGCACAGCCTCCTGCCTTCTCTGGGCCTCAGCCTCCTAGATGGGGAGATGCTCCAATGGCCCTCCTGGGCTCTTTCCGACACAAGGCAGGCCCCGGCTGGGTTAGAGCCCTCCCTAGGGGTCCCCACAGCCCACGTCCTTCCAGTAGACCAATGTAGAAGCCCCCCAACCCTGGGCTGTGAGCCCACAGGGCCTGGCACAGGGTCTGACACGCACACAGTAGCTGAACACACACAAATAAATCAACTAGACCCAGGGCTAAAAGGAAACTTCCAGTGAGTGCTGGGCATGACAACTTGGGCCAGCTGTTCCCCAAGAGGATGCTGAAGACCGGGAGCCCGGAAACAGGCTCCATGCCGAGAACCTCTGGTCAATCAGGTTTGGGAAGGGCCTTTCCTGGGCCAGCTCCTGTGGCTCCCGCTGTCCCCTCATTGACTTAAGAGCGCACTGTGTGCCCGGCATGGGGTAAGCGCTCATATACCCTCATTTAATCCTTACGCCAACTGTCCACTTACAGATGGGAGGCCTGAGGCTCCGAGAGGGAGAGTGACTTGCCCAAGGTCACAGTGCAAATACGCATACAGCTGAGTCTCAAACCCAGTGTGTCCAGCTCTACAGACCAGGATCTTCCCACCACGCTGCTCAGAGAGTGTGGGCGTCCCAGGCTTCCCAAGGGCCAGCTGCCCCTCTCCTGGCTGTGCTGCCTCGGGGTGCGGGGCTGAGGGCTCACTGAAGGAGTGGGGGACAGACAGGACATACCCAGCACGCTAAGCTGCACCAGCTTCTGGTCTCGGCCGGCAGCATTGAGGGCCTCACATGCGTATATCCCGGAGTCTGACGGCCGTGCCCGGGCCAGCTGCAATGTGTGGGTGCCTGCCGGAGGAGCCAGCCCCCTTACACCGGAGAGCAGACCCCAGGCCCCAGGCCTTCCCAGACTCAAGCCTTCCCAGACTCCCTGTCTGGTCCCAGGTTGGAGGAAGCAACTCAGACTCCCCACATAGCCTCAGGCTGGGCTCTGAGCCTCAGTTTACCCACCAGGCAGGAGGAAGACCTCTTTTCCCAGGGAGAGAGCCTGGCTGTCCCGGGACCACGTGACCTCAGGGCTCGGGTGAGCATGGACGTCACAGGACAGGGAGACACTGCTGTTGACGATGGCAGTGACCTGCTCCAAGTTCGGGCCTGTGATGCGTGGGGGGGCTGTCCCCGCAGCCGCCAGGAGAAAGAAGGACCCATGAGAACACATTCCAGCAGGGGGCCGAGAGCCACAGAGTGGAACACGGCCTTGAGGAGCTCTTGGTGCCGTGCCTTGGCGCATCTTCAAACAAGGCCGTGCGACACCCCCTGGCTGTCCTAGCTGTCTCACAGGTGAGAACACGGGGCTCAGAGATCAGAGAGGGACAGTCACTTCCCCAAAGCCACTCAGCGGGTCAGCGGCAGAGCTGAAGTATCAATTCGGGCTCAGGTCCTAGACCTGGAGCGCTCCGCGCTGTCATCCCTCTGTCCCTGCGGCCACAGCTGCCCCACAGCTGGAGGCAGAACTCATGGCCAGTGAGATGGAAACCCCCTACTAGGTGACCTCTCTGAGCTGTATATTTGGGCCGGCCTCCTAGCTCCGCTCTGGGGAACATGTCAGCCCCACCCCAGGGATAGAGTAAGTCTCAATAACGGTGCTGTAAGGCCTCGGAGGAGCCGTTCCCTGGCGGCCTCTGATGTTGCTTAAAATCATCTGGGGTTGGCCTGCAGGGATCAGGGTCCCCTCCCTGTCCCAGGAGATGGCTGGCACCAGCTGGGATCCAACCACGTGCGCCCAGGCCCAGAGCCCAGGATGCTGGAAGCAACGAGGCGGTGCCCCTCCGGGTGGGAAGAGGGGCCGGGTCTGCCCACGAGGTTAACCCGGGGAGCGGCCACAGCCAGCCCAGAGCACCAGCCCTCAGCTGGGAACCCCCAGGGGCCGCTGCTCAGCCCAGCTCACCTTGTACCCTGAGGGTGAAGAGCTTCTCTGAGGAGCCCGCCGGGTTCTCGGCCACACACATGTAGCTGGCGGCATCGGCCACCTCCGCCGTGGAGACCTGCGGGCGCAGGGAGAAGGTGCCTGGGAGACCCCACAGGCCGGCCGGCTCTGGGCTCCCCCAGGAAGGGCTGTGAGGGCTCCCGGCCACCCCCGTGTGCATGAAGCAGCGCTCAGGGGGCTCCGCGGATAGGCAACCCCCCCCACATCCCCCGAGGCTCTCTGTGACATTCAGGGCGTAGTGTGAGATTGATGCCGGATGATTCCCTGTAGCAAACTCCACGGTGACAACAGTCTCCGCCTGGCTCCAAGCAGGGCCGCTCGGTGCCACGCTGGGCTCTAGCTGGGCGTGCGTATGTGTCCTTCTTGGGCACTAAGTGTAGCCCTGCGCTGCCAGCAAGCTGCTCACGTAAAGGTTATTTGGTGGGCTGAATTAAATCCCGGCTGCTCCAACGTGCTTCCAGGCCAAGAGCCTCATTTGGCACAGATAACGGCAGCTCCTTGGTTCCCGGACAAGCAGGACTGGGTCACAGCAGTTTCAGCCTTCAGCCTGACTTGGGGGTCGCCCTGACCTGCAAGACTTGCCCGTCCTCCAGGACCTGCAGCTGTGGGCTCGGGGAGAAGGGCAGCCCATTCTGGAGCCATGAGATGGTGGGCATGGGGTTGCCCAGGGCCGGGCAGCGTAGGCTGACGGTGCTGCTGGCGTTGACGGTCACCTCCTCCACCAGCTCCTCCGTGTCACCCAGGATCACAGGTGGGGCTGGGGGCGGGGGAGAGCAGCGTGAGGAGCAGGCAGCCTGCCTGGGAAAGGTCCCCGGGGTAGGGGGTGGGCAAGGAGGGGAGAGCAGCCCGTGGCACAAGGCTCTGGCTAGGGTGCCCGGTGCCCTCCTTCCCCCCGCCCTGATGCAGCTAAGGAATCTGGGGCACCGGGAGGGCTGTGATGTGCTCCAGGTGATGCGGCTAGAAAGCAGGCCACTTGGAATTTGAACCCAGTCCCAGCTCGCGTGTCCTACGTGATCAACCTCCCAGTGCAGCAGGACTGAACGTGCACTCTGCCTTGACCCCCTTTAGCAGGGAGGGCCCTGTGGGGCCTGCAGACCGAAACCCTCTGGCCCCAAGCTGGCCACTCACTCAGCACAAGCAGCTGGTAATGCAGCCAGTCCTCGCCCACCTCATTGGAGGCCTTGCATGAATACCTCCCAGCATCTTCCGCACGCACCAGGGGGATCTGCAGGACCCGACCTCCTGCGGGGACACAGGATAGAGACCTGAACGAGGGCAAGGAGGCAGGGGACCCCGAAGACATCACTGCCCCGCCTCCTCTGTGAAATGGAGAGAATCAGCCTGCCCTGCTTGCTGTGGGGAAGGCCCTGGGCCGAGCATTTTCCTGGCCTCTGGCTCTGGGGCTCCTCCTCCTCCCATATGACAGATGGAAGAACTGAGGCTTCCCAAGAGTGCCCAGCAGTGCTGAGCCCGGCTCCTCAATGAAGGAAGAGGGAGGGGACAGAGAGCTGGGCAAATGTCCGGGGATAGGCCTTTGAGAAGCAATAAGGCAGCTCCTGGGCTGTGGTGATCAGGGGTGGGGGGGTCCTGGGGGGTGTCACCTGGGACCCTCTGTGATTAGGAGGCAGCCAGGGCCAGACCCTGGTATCTCTGCAGGGCTAGAGGTGGTCTCCAGCAGAGCCGGGTTAGGGTCACCATGTGTTCAGGATTCTGGGTTGGGGGATCACTGGCCTAGGCTGTGGTGTGCTCATGACCAGGGTTAGGGGCTTGTGACCTGCAGAGCCGGGGACAGAAGCAGGATTGGAGAAACAGTGGCTGCGTTTGGGGATCACTTGACACGTGAAATTAATCTATGGTCAGGTTCAGAATTAAGGTTCACTTGTGACCACAACCACTATGTGCCCACGATTAAGGGTCAGTGGCCGGGGTCAGAGGTCAATGGTGGGGTTGGAGGTTAATGGCTAGGACCGGGGATGGAGTCAGCTGATGGCTGGGATTAACCTCTGGTCAGGATCTGAGGTAGGAATCAGCATGTGACCGAGCTCACTGTGTACCCAGGATCTGGATCAGTGTCCGGGTCCAAGGGCAGTGGCCAGGTTGAGGGGTCAATCAGGGGTTTCTGACAAACAGCTTTCAGTAAGCATTGCCTCTTCTCCATCTCCAAGAGGCTGCTGTCCTTTGCAAGCACCAAAGTACAAACCTTGGAAGGACCCTATTTGTCTAGAGGCCCGCGCAAACCACCTCATCTCCACCCCCAGCCAGCCCCACCGTTGCTCCAGGCCCGGCAGGACACAGGACACATCCGAAGCTGAAGGGTCACCGAGTCCCCGCTGATGAGATGATAAACAGGGCTCTATGCCTGGAATCCCCTCCCCGCACCCCCCGCCCCCAGTGTGGTCCTCATGAGATCTTACTAAAGGAACTGGCTCCCCCTGCCGAGAAAGACACCAGTGTCGGCCAGTTATCCCAGGACATTACAGATCTTGAGGCCCAGAGGTGGGCACGGCCCAGGTGAGAACCTCGGGTCTAAAAACCAGAGGCAAAGGGGGCCCCCGTCCTTGCCTTCAAATGGGCAAGGAGCGTCTAGTCCAGGTTTGCGAAAGGCAGCCAAGGCCCAGAGTGGTTGCGTGGCCTGCCCATGGTCACACAGCCACACAGGAGAGCTCCAAGGACTCGTGAGGGCAGTTAAGGAGCCCAGCTCCGAGGTGGGAGAACCCCGATCCCTGCCTGCAAATGCCCTGAGCTCTCTGTGCACTCTAAACTACCTTGCAGAACAGACACCCCATCTGCGGCCGAGAGGGGCTGGTCCTCCCTGTACCAGGTGAGCTCCGGGGGTGGAATAGCATTGGTGTCACAGTGAAGGTAGGCAGGGTTGTTCTCCACAATCTCCCGGTATTCCGTCACCCCACCCCGGGCCTCTTCTTCCCTGGACGGGATCTCGAAGGCTGCACTGGCGTCGCCCGGCTTCTGGAACATGGGGGGCACTGGGGTGGGGGACAAAGCCATTAGAACACACAGCTGAGGGATGGGGATGCACCTCTGCTCAAAGAGACTCCCGTGCTAGCCTCTCTCAGGTGTGGGGACTGCACGGTTAGAGCAGATCCCTTAGGTCAAGGCAGTTTTTTAAATTCACTCATTCTTTCCGCCAGTGTTTATTGAGCAACTACTATGCTCGGCACTAAGATAAGGTTCCTGCCCTCTGTGGCTCATGTCCTCAAAGACTCCCCGTGACATGCTGACACCTCTGAGTGGAGGAAGCCAGATCCAAAGTTTTAGCCAGAGTCTGTTTATTGGAGCACAGAGGTACAAAATCATTGGCTTTCAGAAGTGGTGAGGGCCCTTGAGGCCCCCTGAGCTGATGACCCACATTTTACCCAGGTAAAACCAAGGCCGGGGGGAGGGCAATGGTGGCCCCAGGTCATGGAGTCAGTTAATGGGAGAGCCCGGGGCCAGGGGCCTGGAGGTAAGACATGCCAGCCAGCAGTGAGAAAGGGAAGAAGCCACCAGGAGGAGTCCTCCTGCCAGACTGTTCCAGAAGCACGGACATTCCCCACGCCCAGCTGTGGTGCCCCCCGTTCCCACTGGCCCCCACGCACCCTGGATGAGCACACTGAAGTCCTGGTCATCCTCACCGGCCACGTTGCCGGCTACACACAGATATCGCCCCGAATCCGAGACCTGCGTGGGCTGGATCTGGAGCAGCCGGCCTTCGCCCAGGATGCGGAGCTGCTGGTTGGGGGTCACGGGCTGGGGGTGAGAGAGGGGGAATGATCAGAAATGAGGGGCAGAAAGTACCCAGATGAGCCTACTTATATATATATAGTTTGTAATGTATTTATTTGAGAGAGAGAGTGCGCGTGGAGGGAGGGACGGAGGGAGAGGGAGAGAGAGAATCTCATGCAGACTCCATGCTGAGTGCAGAGCCTAATGCAGCGCTCGATCTCATGACCCTGAGATCAAGACCTAAGCCGAAACCAAGAGTCAGACACTCAACTGACTGCACTACCAAAGTGCCCCAAACCTAACTATATTTTAATAAAATTTTAAAAATACAACACGAAGTGACGGTAGTGCTCTGACAATTTTATAACACCAAACCCGTATAGCTCAAAAACCGTGAGTTAAATGGGTAAATGTAGAGTTGAATGTTAATGAGGCCTGTTCCCTACAAACAGTTGGATTTCTTGTTAAAATATAAAGTGGGGGAGGGCCCAGGCTGGCTCTGGGGCCAGGTGCTCTGACGGGCTTCTCTGGAAGGTTCCAAGCAGAAGCAGGCCCCCCCCCCGGGGTTTCCTCACTTACCCGTCCGTCCTTGTACCAGCTGATGGTGGGTGGGGGCACGGCCCAGCTCTCACACTCCAGGGTCAAGGTACTGTTGACCTTAGTCTTCACTTCCTTCACGCTGGCCTCCCCCAAGGGGTCGTCTTTGGAGATGGAAGGGGGGACTGAAAACCACAAGGGGGTCTGAGGAGCAGGCCTAGGAAAGGGGTGCTGAGACCCAGGGCTCACCCTGCACCCAGGGCAGTCCCAGAAATGGGAGGCAGCTTCCCGAGAGCCGAGGAACAGGGACGCTGAAGGCGGACCTGCTCCTGCGGCTGTTCGCTTAGGGGAGAGAGTGCTGGTTGTCAGTGGTTTATAGGACCGGGCATGTCTGGGGCAGGGGAATTCCTGGGGTGACCTCTGGGGTCCATTCTGGGGGTGCTGGGTCTCAAGTTGTGGGGTCTCTGGCCGCAGCACAGTGCAGGTGGCAGAAGGAAACCAGGACTGGTGTGGATCTGGGCGTCCACATGACCCAAGTCCTAACTCGCTTGTTCCCCCATCTCCTGGGGCCCTGGGCCCTCAAGTGACTGAGTCAGCCCTGGCTTCCTCGGACCATCAGAGGAGACAAGCCATAGGAAGGTGCCTAGGGTGTCTGTGGGGCTCAGGTGCCGGGGGACCCTGGGCTCCCACGCAGCCTCCTGCCTGCCCTGCTGGTGCCCTGGAGGGTCCCTGACTCACTGAGCACTTCAACGTGGTAGTTCTTCATGGCCTCCCCAAGTTCATTGGTGACGACACAGGTGTATTGGCCCGCATCTTCCTTCTGGGCATTCAGGATCTGCAGCCCGTGGGTGCCTGCTTGCAGGGACAGTAGCCAGGGTCACCCCCTGGTCACATGACCTCAGGCCCAAGAACATGTCTCCTGTCCTTTTGCTTCTTCCCCCTACACAGGGCATCACCTGGGAGCAGCTGGATGTTGTTCGAAGCCTCAAATGGGATGCCATCCTTCATCCAGGTGATGGTGGGGGAGGGGAAGGCCAGTGCCTCGCAGATCAGAGAAATGGGGTTGTTGATGGTCACCGTCACCTCCTCATCTGCACTGTCCTCGGTCACTCCCAGGATGGTGGGAACCACTGTGGGGGAGGCAGGGGGTGTGATCGTTAACAGAGATCCCTAACCCTGGGCCCAAAGATCCAGAAAAGTCTCAGACCCTGGTGTTTAGCTTCAGAGCCTAGGCTTTCTACCACTAAGCAATGCCACAGGGGAAGCTGGACAACTTCTGCCTGGATTTCCCCAGTAGTCTCTTAACATCCAGATGGTCTACTGATTTACCAGAGCCTTGTCAGTTCTGCTTGTGTTCCGGAGGGTTCCCTGACATGCAGAATAGCTCTGCTTTCATTGGTCCTAAAATTTCCTCTTTCAGGTCCCGCAGGGGACTGTCCCCTTTACCACCAGCATTTTTAGAAACAGATTTTATTAAGCCAGGCTGTGTCCCTCTCATCTACTAGCTCCCTGTTTCTCCTGACAAGACAGTTCATGCTGATTGCCCTCAGGAGATGTACACCTAGGGGCCCAGTCACCTCTCTAAGCCTCAGAGCTTCACTGGTGACACAGAACAAGCACATCTCCCATCTCCTAGGCTTGTTGTGAAGATCCAACCAATCAGGCCTGTCCAAATGCCTAGCCCATGATTAATGTTCAGCCAACAGAGCTATTATTTTGTTGTGGTGGTGGTGTTGTTGTTATCGTTGAACCCGGAGAAATGGGGTAAAAAATAGGAGAAGGCTTTGTGGACACTGTCTGTAAGGAGCTGGTCACCTTGGTTCTCCCTCCCGTCGGCACCCAGGGTGGCCGGAAGAGGCCCAGCACTTACCCAGGACACTAAGCTGGAAGTGTTTGGTCTTCTCCCCCACAGCGTTGGCTGCAATGCAGGAGTAGTGGCCAGAACTGGACAGGTTGGCCTGGAGGACCTGCAGGAGGGCTCCGTCTGGAGAAATGAGGTGGGTGTCTCCACCAGCCAGGGGCCGGCCATCTTTGAACCACGTGACCTTGGGCTGTGGGTGGCCTGTAAGGAGGGGGAGAGGCAGGTGGGACAATTTAGCAGGTTCTGACTAGGCTGGCCAAGAGGTCAGAGGCTCCAGGATAGGGCAGAGGACATGGATTCTTCATCTCAGTCCCAGAGGCCCATGCAGCAGGGCAAGACACAGAGCAGCCATCAAGCCTGGTCTGGGTCCTTTCCTATGTGGTTGACTGCCTTTTCCTTATGGAGGAGTGGGCTGAGATGGCGTGGTGTAGACAGGCAAGACAGAAAGGCAAGTTATTCCTTTCACCTATCCATCCATCTATCCACCCACCTCCCCATCCATCCATCCACCCACCCATCTACCTCCCCATCCATCCATCCATCCATCCATCCATCCATCCATCCACCCACCTCTCCATTTATCCTTCCATCCATTCACCCACCCACCTCCCCATCCATCCTTCCATCTATCCATCCATCCATCCATCCTTCCATCCATCCATCCATCCATCCATCCACCCACCTCCCCATCCAACCATCCATCCATCCATCCACCCACCTCCCCATCCATTCTTCCATCTATCCATCCATCCTTCCAGCCAGCCAGCCAGCCAGCCAGCCAGCCAGCCCAGTCCATAAGCATTAATGGGAGCCTACTCTGTCAGACACTGGAAAAACCATGGTGACAAAGCAGTCCTTGGGTCCTCAAGGACCTCTGAGTCCGACTGGGGCATACAGATGTCCCAAGGTTACTATGGTCTAGTGTGCTTAGTGCTGGGACAAGAAAGCCCTGGAGCCTGTGGGAGTCCAGTGGAGGTAGCCCATGGGCCCAAGGGGTCAGCCAAGGACTCCTTGTGGGAAGTCCTGGAAGCAGAGGTCTGTAGTCAGGTGAGGAGTGGGGGTGGGGGGGAGTGTTTGGGGGCAGAAGCATAGCGGTGCAAAGATGAGCAGGGATGTGGTGCCAAGTTCATGATTTGAGAGACCTTCCGTGGGGAGCAGTGGGACTGGGGGCAGGCTGGAACCCCCAGGGAACCCCTCCTCTCTGAAGCTGTCTTCTCATGCTTCTTCCCAGCCCACTGTGTGTGTGGCCCTTACCTGTGGTCTTGCACGTCAGCTGAGCTGTCTGCCCCTCGGTGACCTTGACTGCCTCCTCCAGGTCCTCGTTCTCAATCCTGGGAGGAACTGGGAGAAGCAGGGAGACAGATGGCTACTGACCAGGGTTGGCTGAAGGACTGTGAAGCAGGAAGGCAAGAGCCCAGAACCAAGAGCCTAAGGCAGTCAGTTCCCCGTGCCTCAGTTTCCCATTCCCTTGTGCCTGCTTCCATGGGGCAGTGAGTTCAATAAACATTTGGTTCTGGCTGAGGGAAGTACCAGTGCCTCTGGGGGAAGGCCCTGATCAGAGGAAGGCAGTTGGGTGGTGTTGAAAATATATGCCCCCTTCCACTTTGGGTTAGTCCCTGCTGTTTCCAGAAAGTTCCATGGCAGCCTTAGAGAAGAGGTTGCTCATCAGGCAAAGAAAACAAGGCTTGGCCTCTCCCTCCTTCCTGTGCTGAGTCCCCTGCTACAGCATGAGCCCTAAGTCCTGGGCATGGGCCCCCAGAAGCTCCTAGGTGGGAGAGGAGGAATCCGTGGGGTGCACAGGAGAATGGGGCTGTCACATACCCAGGACCTCGACGCTGAAGTTTCTCCGAACCTCCCCAGCCTCATTGCTTGCCAGGCACGAGTAGAAACCTCTGTCTTGTTCCTGTGCCCGGGTCATCCTCAGCATCCAGCCACCTGGGGAGGAAGAAGAGTGGGCTCCAAGCACAGCTATGAGCAACCTCTGTCCTAAGCTTAGCCCAGGCTGCTCACCAGGAACAGGAGTGCACCAGGTGCTGTCATTAGATGTGTATGTGTCCCCCTCCCCCAGTGCTCCTTTCCTCAGATGGGGAAACTGAGGCCCAGGAGGGTAAACAGATGGAGGGAGCCCCCTGGACATTAGACAGGCACATGGGTAAACCTGAGGACCCTGTTCTAGTAAGAAGGATCTGTCCCCTGGCTACCCCTGGTTCTGGGGATTGGCTGGGGCTAAAAGGACAGCAATGGGCTCTGCAGTCCTAGCCCAGGCCAGATGCCCGCATTCTATTCTAGCAGACCTAGAAAAAAAGCCGCCTTCTCCCAAGGACCTCTCAGAGGCAAGCCAGTTTCTCCCAGGGGAACACAATCAAGGACCATCTAAGACCTGCCCAGGGAAGGCAGATACACAGGAAATGTCATTACTGCTGTTCCTGCACCCAGGGCAGACATCACTAATGGATTGCCATGCTCCTTTCTTCCCAGAAACAGTCTCTGAATTCATATCACAAGGCATCTGGTAGCCCCTACCAAATGCTCAGAAGTGGTGCACAAGAGAAAATTTATTTGCCATCCCGGCTTTGGCTGCGTGGAACAACTGTTGAGTTACTGAAGCTAAGCTTCAGTGGTCTTGAAGTTCCTGCAAGATTTGGAAGGGACACTGCCTCTTGGTCCTCAGTTTCCCCACTTGTATACCAATAAGAACCATCACAAACCAGCTTTCTGGGGAGGATGAATATTCAGAGAAGGTGCTTAACTCAGCATTTCAAAAGTATGTTACTGTTCTGGAGGATGTTATAGACGTGCCATGAGAATTTTTTTTTTTTTCCTGCAGGACTTATCAGAACCTAAACTATGCAAAGTCACTGTCGGTCTTCAGGAGGGGAACAGAGCAGGAAGTCTTTTCCGAACTTATTTAAATCCAATTGTTTTTCCTGGAGTACTTCAGCTAGCCAGTGTTTTTGGTTGCACTCGTGGGGGACCAACAGCTCAATGGTTATCCCAACCAAGCCTGGCAGCAAAGGGTCAGAGGTCATGGACATGTGATAAACAGAGGCACAGGCAGAGGGCCAGACCTGATAACCAGATACTCCCCTGGCTGGCACCTTACCTGCCAAGAGGTAGGTGTCCTCCCTGGGGCTGATGGGCTCCTCTCCTCGGAACCAGCGGACCCCTGGGGGCGGGACACCTGTGGCTTCACAGAGCAGCGTCAAGGGGCTGTGCAAGGCAGCGGAGACGTTGGTCAGTGGGTCCAAGTCTCCGATGAGCTCTGGGGGCACTAGACACGGAGGAGAAACCACATTCAGGATGCAGATGGGCGCTGTATGCTCCTTCCCCGCCCCCTAACAGCTGTCCCCCCACAAGGACCCCCACCCCCAGTCGGGAGAGTGCGAGGAGCAGAAGTGACAAGATCAGAGCAGCTCCCACTAAAGGGAGTGACTGGTGGCCACAGGCTCGGCTTTGGCTTCAGGCAAACACCTGAATGGGATGCCAGGAGGACTCAACAAGTGCTTAGCACAGCGCCCAGGCTGAGCAACGGGACTGGAACTAGAGCCAGGGGGAACACAGATACGCCCCTGAATCTCCACAGCAGTGGTAAGTGGCACCTCTGCACTTTCTAAAGGATCCATTCCAAAAGGAAGCCACACTCTATCAGGCGGGGATAAGTGGGAGCGGCCAGGGATCCCTGGAGGATGGAGGGGGGCAGGGAGGTGGGGGAGGGCATGACGAGAGAGGCCTCCCTAAACCCAGCTTGCCCACCTTATCTCTTACCACTTCCTGCCCCTACCTTGAGGCATACAATAGGAGCTCAATAAAAGATTAGAATCACGAGGCTGCTGCAGCCACCCTGAAAGTGCCATATCACCCCTCCAGGCCTCTGTAGAGTCTGTTCCCTCTGTCCTGCACACTGTTCCCCTCACCCCGGCACCTGGTTAACTCCTACTCAGCTTTTACATTTCAGCTAAAAGGTCACCTCCTACAGGAGGCCGCCCTGACTTCCCATGACAGTGTTGGGAAGTACCTCACCTAGCCATAGGCCCTGGATCCCCCCATCACACAGAAGTCATGCAGGATAGAGACTGCTTATTTCCCCAGGGCCAGGAACGGAGTAGAGGAACAGCAAGTAAGGGAGAGAAGGAGGGAGGAAATGAGGGCGATTTGGAGCCAGTCCTGATTTTGAGAGCAATACTCAAGGCTTCCCCCCAACAGTGGCCCCATCAGTGGCCCGACTCCTGGGAGAACAAGGGGCTGTGCCTGCAGGTTGGAGTGGCCTTGCTCTCTCCAATCGGTCCCGCTCCCCGCCCTCCTCCAACACGCCGCCGGTCCTCACCCAGCACGGAGAGCGCAAACCTCCTCTCGGCCCTTCCGGCCACGTTCTCGGCCACGCAGCTGTAGCGTCCACTGTGGGCAGCCTGAGCCCGCTCCACGTGCAGCCTCTGACCCTGGTCCTGCAGCCGCAGGCCAGGCTCGGCCCTCAGTGGCCGGCCGTCCCGCTCCCATGCCACCCTGGGTGGGGGCTTCCCCGTGGCATTGCACTGCAGAGTGGCCTCCCCATCCTGGACCACGGAGACCTGTGTGGGGGGCTCCCGGGGGCCAGCGATCTGAGGGGGAACTGAGGATGAAGAAAATGCCCGTCAGGGCAGGCCACCGTGGCCGCTGGGCACTGGACACTCGCCACGAGCCAGGCCCGCCCCCATGCAGGCTATGCTCCCCCGGCCACTCGCAGACCTTGCCAGGTGACCTCACCTCTCGGGGCACCCATTTTCCATCTCTATAATGGGGTCACAACAGTACCCCCGGCCCCCCTCCCACACCCTGGGAATCAGGGGCAGGCTTGCTCTTCGGAGGACAGGGTCACACAACACAGCCCTGACAAGGTCTGTGCGGGGTCTCCTTCTGCAGACACCAGGGCCTTCCTGGAGCTTAAACAGTCCCTGGGACCGTTTGGGGCAGGGCCTTATTTATTTATTTATTAAAGATTTTATTTATTTATTTGACAGAGAAAGACACAGCGAGAGAGGGAACACAAGCGGGGGGAGAGGGAGAGGGAGAAGCAGGCTCCCCGCAGAGCAGGGAGCCCGATGCGGGGCTCGATCCCAGGACCCTGGGATCATGACTTGAGCTGAAGGCAGACGCTTAACGACTGAGCCACCCAGGCGCCCCTGGGGCAGGGCCTTATTGCACAGGGGGGATGCTCAACAACGCTCTTCCTGGTTTTATTTTCTAGAACGATTTTTGTAAGGCCGTGTATCTGATTTCATCCCTGCAGGACAAGTCCACCCAGGAGCGTCACATACATTTTATACTGCTTTGTTTCCAACTGTTTCAAGATTTATTCGGTTTCGGGCGCCTGGGTGGCTCAGTTGGTTAAGCGACTGCCTTCGGCTCAGGTCATGATCCTGGAGTCCCGGGATCGAGTCCCGCATCGGGCTTCCTGCTCCGCAGGGAGTCTGCTTCTCCCTCTGACCCTCCCCCTTCTCATGTGCTCTCTCTCATTCTCTCTCTCTCAAATAAATAAATAAAAAATCTTT